TATGGACTTTGATAAACAGAAATCTTTGGAAACACCAGCACCTCGCAGGTTTGCTCCTATACCTGTTTCAAGGGATGCTGAAATATTTAAGAGGGAGAATACTATGGAAGAAAAAGAAAATATGCAAATTTCAGGTCATAGAGGTAATAAAACAATTATAATTAGCACCCACTTTTTACTAGACCTTATGTCAAATTAGGAAATTGTCATGAGACTTTTCTCACTCATAGTTTATAAGTCTCTGTGGGCCTAGTGATAACTGAAGTAGGATCTCTATTTTATTTTTAGAGAGTTTTTTGCTATCGAATGCATGCACTCGACAGAAAGACAGAGAGAGACAGAAAGCAAGAAACCACCCCCTAGAGGGGATGACCACGCCGCAATCCCTTCTCCTCCATTCCCCTCTTGGGATCTTGGGCACGCACGTACCCGCGCCCGGCGTGAGTTTTAGCTACTGGGTCCAGAATTTGAATCGCAGTCAACTACATGGTAGTCCAGCGACATAGCCATTGCACCAACTGCTGGTCCCAGGATCTCTATTTTTTAATTGAATTGTTTTTTAATTTTAAAAGAATTATTTAGTTTTATTTATTTTACTACTTATTCAATTTGACCAGAGAGGAAGAGAGAGAGGGAGTCTGGGACTCGAACCACGGTTGACTACGTGGGAGTCCAGTGACATAGCCATTATGCTAACTGCTGGCCCCATGAGTTCAGCATCTTAACCACTATGATATCCACCAGCTCCACGATCTCTGTTTTTAATATTTTTCTTTAAGTGACATGAATCTAACCAAGCTTCCTTAGATTCCTCACAGAGGAAGTTGTAGATATATGTATATAATTATTCTGACTAGCTCCTATAGGTTATTATTAAACCTTTAATGAACAAGTTCTGTGTTGCTAAATAAAAAATAATGTTCTGCTGAAGGTAAGGAAGATTTTTTTCAAAAAAGATTATTGTCATAGGACACGTGTGCTCGCCGGAGAGAGACGGAAAGAGAGGGACAGTGAGAAATCACCCCCAGAGGATGGCAAAGCCAGTTTCTTCTCCATTTACCTTTTGGGATTATCGGCACACACGCATGCACTTGGTGTCATGTTCAAGCTGCCGGGTCTAGGTCTCAAAATGCCGAGTTGTCCACCGCACCACCTGTTGGCCCCACCAGTATAGTTTTTATGAGATATAATTATTTAGTTTTATTTGGTGACTGTATTTATAGTTTATATTCTAGAGTGAATTGAGTAATCATAAGAACCTAAATCAGACTACAATATATGTAACATTATATGAAAGATAAATTTGTATTTCGAAAATAATACTGTATTTCTTCTATTGTAGGAAATGTAAGACTGTTGGAACAAATTTTAAATAACAATGACTCTTCGACAAGAAAAAGTGAATCATCAGACAAAACCTCACTAACTAAGTCAAAAATAGGGTGGAGTCTTGAGAAAAGAGACAGGTAAAAATGAGATGGGAGTGAAAGCTAAATTAAAAAGAGCTTTGTTCAGATTTCTAAAACTTCTTTAGGAATTTTAATAAATAGTAGCCTTGCTTTGTTTTTAATCTTGGATTTAGTTATTTTCTGATTTTAATATATCTTCTTTTTTATAATATAGTTAATCACTGAATGTTCTATTTTCTCAGAATGTGATTGTTAATTTCTAATTAATTAAATTCTTCATTTCTCATGAAATGGCATCTGGGATCATTAAAAATAATCCAGTGTATAGTAGGGAGATGTGGGGAGAGGATATAGATGAAATAATGATAGATGTGGGACCAGCAGTTAGCGTAATGTCTATGTCGCTGGACTCCCACGTAGTCGACCACAGTTTGAGTCCCGGACCCGGTGGCTTAAACTCACACTGGGCACGTGTGCATGCGTGCCCAAGATCCCGAAAGGAGAATGGAGGAGAAGGGATCATGGCATGGCCATTCCCCCTGGGGGGTGATTTCTCGCTTTCTGTCTCTCTCTTTCTGTCTGTCTTGTGAGTGCACGTGCCCTATAGCAAAAACCTCTATAAAGAAAAATTAATAATAATGATAGATATGAATTGATGATTTTAGAGTAAATAATTAGTTTGTAGAGGCTCATTATAGTAGTCTTTCTACTTTTATGTATGTTTTAAATTTTGAATGGTTAAAGCTTTTAAGAAAGAAGTAAATTTGGACCATGATAATTTTTTTTCACATCTAAAATATGTAGTTATTCCTTCATGTCATTAAATATGTAAGGTATTTAAATGTCCACTATCTTATAAGCTTTTTACAGTTTGCTTAAATTAGAATAGAAATTATCTATAAAGTACAAAAGAGGGATTTTAAATCTCTTAATCTGCTAGCTAATGTGCTCTTTTTCTTTTTTTTATTTCAATTTATTTATTTGCATTCATTCACTGTACATCATTACAGCATACAAAATGAGATTTTCCATCCAGAGTACACTGTATATTGTCTCAATCAAGCACATCAACAAACATATTATTGTCAGCAAATAATCTTCCATTTCTTGTTTTCTGCATGTTTTGTGTTTTTTTCCCCCCATCCTTGATTCCCTATCTCTTACCCTCTGCCATCTCCCACTCTCCTCTCACACTGTCTCTGGTATCTATGTTTGCTTTCTATACTGTTTTCCCCCCACATTTTATTAAATCACCAAAGACCCTAATAAATCCAAATACCCTCATAGCAAACACAGGTGACACACACATTTCCATGAACACAAGTCTAACTTTACGCATCCTATAAAGTAGCACCTAGCTGGGGCTACATATCCTACTGCAGTCATTGAATAGATATATTTTTTTTTTCCTGAAACTTTTTTTTTTAACTCAATTTACATCCCTTCCCTAAGCATCATCACA